TTTATCCTTGAGTTTAATTCATCAAGAACTTAATTAATGTCTGTGTGAGTCAAACTGCAACGGGAAGAAAGTCACTTGACTCTCAGTCGGTGAGGTGGGAAGAGGGCGCACTCCTCCCGGCTCGCCTGGGCTCCGCGGAGCAGCAGCACCAGCGTCCCACAGGAGACCGCTCTCCTGGTCACCTGGAGGCCACGTCTGCGCCGCCCCACGTGCATGTCCGGACCTTTGCGAAGGTGGGTGAAGACAAACGGCGTTTGAAAGAACAGAACATCGAGTCCATGCGAGCGGCACACGGACAGGGAGGGCACAGAGCTGGGTCGTGTTCTGGAACAGCACTCGTCAAGGACCTTTCGTCAGCGGAGACCACAAAAAGCAATTGTGCTCTCGGATTATCCACACGGAACGGACGCCTTTAAATGAAGAAGCGATGGTTCCAAGGTCACCTGCGAGGCTTTACTGCTTTTGATAAGACAGTACGACCAGCTCGCAACACCACTCCACCCCTACCGCGCACTCTGCGCCTGCTGGAAGACCCCTCTGGGGCGCCAGCTTTACTAAGTTAGAATGAAACCCCCTCAACGGGGCTGGTCTGCAACACGACGCACCGCCCAGCTGAGACCTACCAGAGTCCCTGTCTTCTCCCTATTACAATGCACAGTCTTTTTTTTTTTTTTTTTTTTTTAAGATTTTATTTTATTTACTTGACAGAGAGAGAAAGACACAGCAGGAGAGGGAACACAAGCAGGGGGAGTGGGAGAGGGAGAAGCAGACTCCCCACTGGGCAGGGAGCATGATACGGGGCTCCATCCCAGGACCCTGGGATCATGACGTGAGCCGAAGGCAGACGTTTAACGGACGGAGCCCCCCAGCGCCCCACAGTGCCCAGTCCTAACCAACTCCAACACGAACCAACCCTCCAGTCCGCACTGCAGCACTGCTCCGAGCCACGGCTCCCCCGATCACAAGCACCTGGGTCCTTCGTGCCCTTCGTGGACCGTACGAACAAAGAGGAACCGGTGAGAAGTGCTCGCCCATCCTGTGACTTAGACCGCAAGAAGGACAGCAGTGGGAGATAAAGGAGAAAGCAGACGTCAAATGTTTAGAATACGGCACACACACAAACACCCTCTCCACGCTGGGCAAACAGCATACAGCCCAAAAGAAAACACTGAGAATCTCAGCGTTCTGAATCCCTTGCAGGCTGTGGGGTGGGGAGGGGAGAAGAGAAGTAGGAGAAGCGGGAACACACGTGGGCCCTACAACACAATCCGCAGCGTCGTGTCTTATGCCAAAGGACTGCAAAGTAGGGATTAAGTTCCCACTGTACAGAGGAGAAAACTGAGGCTCAAAGGCGCTAACCAGTTTGTAGAGGTCCCACAGGGCGTGGCTCATGAAAACAAGAGGGGAGACCAGAGCTGGCGGGCTCGAGCTCGGCCCCACGGGCCTCTCCTTCCTCTGATCTCCCAGAAACAGCGACAGCCGCGCGGAGGCAAAGGGTACTGCACCTTTTAGCGTTGCGATTCGCTCATCCGCCCCCACCCCCCACCGCTGTGGAACCGAGCAGGCCCCCTGAAGGCAGCTCCTGGAGACAGCACGGCCGCATGGCTGGTCCTAGAGAGTGCAGCCTGGTGGTTCTCCACAGCGAGAGGCAGAGCCCTCAGGCCTGACCCCCACGGCCCGCAGGCTAACGACAGCCCCCGGGCTTCCTGCTGGCCCCGCTGCTGAAGGAACTAGAAGTCGCCTCTTTGAGCCGCCGCTTCCCCATACACAGCCATCGCCCGACGGGGAAGCAGCTCGCCGCTGGCTGGGCTCTGCTCCTTGCGTGGCCGCTGTGCCTGCCCGCAAAGGCAATCGTCCCTAGACTCACAGCTCAGTGCCCAGCTCCCTCGGGGTGGCCAGGAGGTCTCATTCTCCAGTCCACAGGGTTCTGAAGGCAGGGAGGCCCAGCCCCACGGCCGTCCCTTCTGAACACAGCGGCTCGAGAGGGGCTTTGGCCAGCTGGAGGCCACTGAAACCGCCCACTCCCCCACGGGACCCCAGAAGCCCCACGGCCTCGCTATGACATTGTTTCTGTGTCTGGTCTATGGACCCCAACACGGGCACCGATCTCACAGGGCTGTCCGAGGAACACACTGGGGACTTCAAACGCATCTGGTCCACCCCAAAACCTGTGCACAGATGTTCACAGCAGCGCTACCTGTAACAGCCCCAGCGGGAAAGACCGCGAGCACCCTGGGACGAGTGGCTGGATCGATGAGCTCTGGGACACCCACACGGCAGTACAGCTCGGTGGCGGCGGACACCCACCGCCTGGACGGACCTTGAGGGCTTCAGGCCGAGGGAAATCAAGGCAGTCTCCGAACAATTCCATTCACGTGATACTGTCGAGATGACGGAACTCCAGAGATGGAGACCCGGGGTGGCCAGGCCTCGGAGAGGGTGACCTAAAGCAGCGTCATGAGGAGCTCCGCTGGTTACGTAACAGCAGGCGTCAGATTAGGGCGCTGGCTGCATGAACGTGTATGTGAGACACTTGTACACGAGCGTGTAAGCACGCACACGCAGACACACACGGTGCACGTGAACGCTGGTGAGATGCACGGAAGGTCTGCATCTGGTCCACGGGGCCAGCATCCATCTACCCCTGTGAGAGCACAGGGTCTCGGATGGTGACTCCCCATTAGAGGAAGGTGGTGGGGCTGTTCCGGACCTCCCAGCTCTGTCTCTGCCACTTCCTGCGAGTCTAACAGCAATTCCGAACAGCAGCGTTCAAAGTGACCGTGTGGCTGATGAGCACACGCACAGAACTCACATGTCCCCACTCACACAATGGGACAGTATTTGGCAAGAAAACGGAATGACACGCATATGTGTCCTACTGCACGGGAGGGACCATGACAACATTACGCTGAGAGACAGGAGCCAGCCCCAAAGAACAGAGCGAACGACAGCAAAGTTTCCACAGAACGCCCAGGTATGGGCAAACCCGCAGACACGGGAAGTAGACTGGTGCTTGTCGCGGACGGGGGAGGCGGGGGGGGGGGGGTCTAGTATGACGATGGTCCACGGATGGCTCTGGCGGAAGGACTCACACCGTGGGGGCGGGCGCACAGTCCGCGAACCCAGCCAAGAGCACCCCCGGCATGCGTCCCCTCCACAAACCGTCTCAGGGAAGGTGTGAACAAATGCCCCCGACATCTGGCACACACGTGTTTTGGGACCATCTTGTCACAACTGCTGTTCTTTCTGCCCCGTGCGGGCTCGTTCTGAGAGCCCGTCCGGTGCCCTTTCAGTCTACAGGCTGTCCCTCCGATGCTGACGGGCTCGCAGATCCCGGGGCCGTTCCAGGTCGATGAGACACGGCAGCCCCAGCACTAAGAGTCAAAGTCTCCTTCCAACACGGCGTAGGCACCATCCGGTCACAGCACTCGCCCTTCCCGCGCGCTCTCTGCTCCCCCATCACCCGTCACCCACCCCCAATCCCCAGGCTGCTTTATCAACTTTCCCCATTAAACAAAAAGGAGTGGGGCACCCTGGGGGCTCAGTCAGTGAAGCGGCTGCCTTGGGCTCAGGTCACGATCCAGGGTTCCGAGATCGAGCCCCGCATCAGGCTCCCTGCTCCACACGGCGTCTGCTTCTCCCTCTGCCTGCGGCTGCCCTCCTCGTGTTCGCTAGTTCTCCGTCAGATAAACAAAATAAAATCTTAAAAAAAAAAAAAAAAAAAAAAAAAAGCTTTGCTGTTCCCGGCTCCTCTCCTTTGCCCACAACGTCCGTCCCCCCGCCTAGAACGTACTTCCTCTGTACGCATCTGTACTCCGGCCACCCGCACACCCATCGGGAGTCTCTCCTCCAGGAGGAACGTCCAGCCTCCTCAGCGGCTCGGCCACATGCTGTTCAGAGCCTTGCCCAGAAATCAGGGGAGTCCGGGTGGCCCAGCTGCGGCTCAGGTCACCATCACAGAATCCCAGGATCCAGCCCCCCAGAGCCCCACTCGGGCCCCCTGCTCTGCAGGGGGTCTGCTTCTCCCTCTGCTTCTCCCTCCTTCCCCTGCTCCTGCACGCACATGCTCTTTCAGGTAATATATAAAACCTTTATAAAGAAATGAGAAGAGCGCTACTCAGAATTCCCTCGGCACGACCGTCTACACCATGCACGGGACACCCATTCCCACCACGGCTGTCTGCCGCGCCCCCCACCTCATGGGTACATAAGGCCTCACCTCCCAAAACAAGACACATTTCCCACATCTCTGTGTACGCCCCAATGCTCCAGAGGTAACAGACTGAGCGAACGGTCATCCCAGAGACTGCAGATCTCCCACACTAAGTGCTCTGAAAAGGACGTGCTTGATTTGAGAAGGCGCCTGGCCTCTTCGCAGACCCGGTGTGACGCAGCAGCCACGAGAGAGCTCCAGGCCCCCGAAGGCCTCTTCTCTGGGACTCTGGACTGTTTCTGCTCTAAGGACAGCCCAGGAGGGGCTGAGAACGAGGGAAAACACAGCTGCAGGGGCCGCCGTCACAGGCCGTGCCGACGAGGTGGTTCTGAAAGACCTGAGCCGGTCCACAAGCGGCTACGTGGTGCCCGTCCGTCCACGCACACACACTGAGACCAACCGAGAACGGGGCGCGTGGCACACCAAGAGTCAGAAGCCCTTGCTGGTCACGAGTCACCTTCTGAAGAGAGAGAAGGGCCTCAAACGCATCTGGGAAACAAGAGCAGAAACGACGCTTCTCTGCAAAGCGCGCAGATGGTACCGGCCATCTCCGTTTCTCTTCCCTAAAGTCTCGGACTTCCAGAAGCTCAACAGAAAGAAGCACGTCAGGCAGACACACGGCGTTTTCGGGCTAGCAAAATTACCTGTTATAAGAAATCTTGAGAAATCACCATTTTCAGGACTTAGAACCAATACAGTAACATTTAATTTTTAAGCACAGAAAATACAAAGAGGCTGACAGAGTATTTATTACACAATAAGAAACCCATTTTACAATTGCACTTACTCAGAGCCAAGTGTAGGCAAAGCCCTTCTTCCTTCGAGGGTTGATTTCGAGTCCTGACTTCCGTCCTCAGTCACCTGTCAATGAAAAATAACCAAGTAAGGCAAAGGCATCCATGAAAACATCTTGAAGGACACCTGAATCAGGGAATGGACAAAACCGGAAGAATCCCGATGTCAGACGTCACACAGCCACCGCCGCGGACTCCTCAGCTTCGTTCCCCACCGAAGACACACAAATCTGGTCGGTTTTATTATCGCGCAAGCGATTATGATCCTATTACTAGGGAATGTCGAGAACTGAAAAATCCACTCCGCTCTTTCCAGACACATTTTCTCCTACCCCTCCTAAAAAATGCTAATTGAAAACACAGGTATTTCTACATTCAACCCAACTCGGCAAGTTTCTACTGACTACGGCTCATTCAGTCTTGCAGAAAATGCAAACGATGCTCATTGCGGTTCCGGTATTAGGGACACACAGTGCCTGGCCTTGTGGAATGTTCCCATCTCGGCAGGGAGAAGCAGGGGAACCTGGTGATGGAAAAGCAGGGACTATAAACTAGAAAGCAAACGCAAAGCGAGGTCACGTTGGATGAGAGAACTACTGCAACTCCAGCTGGTGGGAGAAGAGAGAGTGACCAGGGCAAGTTTACTCACTTTGGGGCCTGGGGCAGCATTCTTTGAGGAGGGAGCAAGAATGGGGGCGAGAGGCCACAATGCAGACAAAGCAAGTGCAAGGGTCCTGTGGTGAGACTCACCTTGGCAAGAAGGAGGGAGGAGGGCTAGTGGGCTGGGCACCACAGGTCAGTAACATCTGGTCCCGGGTCACAGAGGACCTCACAGCCCACGGAAAGGAGTTGGATCCTACACAGGCCCCACTACACCTTATTCTTCACCCAGCACCAGAGTTAATGAGAAAAAAAATATGATCGTCCTGCTATTTTAAAAAACCCTTCAGGGACTCCTGTCATGCTTAGAACAAAATCCAGAGAAGCTCTTGCTCAATGGAGAACCACCAGTGACTCACACGGTGCTGGCATGAAACGCAGTGTACAGGGTTCTAAGACATTCTGACCTAGTGGACTTATGGGGTGGGGAGGAGGGGCTGTTGGGGGGGAAGCATGTGTGATGGGGAGGGGAGAGGAGAACCCAGCATGATTTCTAGCTTCAGGGCTTGAGCAACAGTTTGGAAGGTGGTGCCATTTCCTGAGATGTAGGCAGACTGAGGAGAAGAAAAGCAAGACTTTTTCGCGTATTCACTCTGAAACGCCCATCCTCTAGCTATCAGTGGACTCCTGACGAGGTCACAAAGGACCCCAGTCTGAGCCATCGGGAGAGGGCACGGCTGCAGAGTTACGTCTGGAAGTCATCCCGTAACCAGGATCTTCAAAAGCTCCGTGCCTGAACGGGAATGCCCAACGCCGGCTTTCTCAGCCCGGGCACGGATATCGCCGTGGATCAGATAACTCCACTGCAGGGGGGCTCCCCCCACTAGATGCTGGTAGCAACCCACACATCCGTTCCCCTCGCTGTGATCACCCAAACTGACCCCAGACATTACCAGCCATCCCCTGGAGGGCACAAGCACCCTGCAGAGAAGCCCTGGTCTAAAGACAGCTAGCCGAGGACGGAACGCTGAAGGGAGGCGACGTCGATGAGACACGGGTGTGCCGAGAGGTAGGAGGAAATCCAGGGGGGTGTGGGATCCTTGGCATCTAGGGACAGACATCTCTCAAAAATCATGGAACAACGAGCAAATAACGGCCACTGATACAGAAGATGAGGACAGCAGATGAAAGGATGATAAGAAACCATACTGTCTTCCCTGCCCATGCTCACTACAGGGAAGAAACCTAGAGAGGCTTCACAGAGGCGCCAGCATTCTTGTTGGCCCATGAAGCCGGGCGACAAGGCAGAGACGGCGAGCTGCAGCCTGAGTGGTTCCAGAGGCAACAAAGGCAGGCAACAGGGCACTGAGGTTTCTAAAAACATCAGATGACGCTCTCAGTGTGGTCAGGAGAGGGGACGGGTGCAGCACAGTGCCAGGACGCCGGGCAGGGGACAGCACAAATGCCCCATCCAGTGCCCCATCCGGCAGAGGAAAGAGGAGGCCACCCAGGCAAGTTGGCTCTGCAGACAGCCCAGTCCTAGCAGGGGTGACTCCAAAACACAAGACAAACCACAGAGTTCCTCCCAAGCGGGAGCCCGGGACCCCTGAGCTGAGCCAGCCACGATCTTTCTCTTTTTCTCTAAGCTTACACGGGCTCATGCCCCTGGCACACGATGCTCAGAGTCCCGAACTGTGTGAAAACGCTGACACAACTTGCCAGACGCCTGACCCACTGCCTGACCCCCTTCCGTCTCCATGACGCAGGAGTATTCCTTTTAACACGATTGTATCAAAAGAGAAAAAAGAAAAGTTACGGGGGAAAAAAAAAGAAGGGCAGATTTACATGCCTCACTTTGCTCCCAATTAATTATAAGAAACTCTCTCCGGACCAGAGAGTCCTCAGCTGTGAAATGAGGGTATTCAATTATTTATGAGGTTTCATCCACGTCAAAAAAATCTGAGGAACCATTTTCCTGTCAACTTCCTTTGTAAATTCCAAGGGAAAACACTTGCAAAAAACTGAACCAAGAACTTGCACAAGGATGCTGGGGGGTGGGGGGGAATGTATGCATCTATCTGTCCCACAGCCAACCGACCTCAGAAATATATCCAAAGGCTGCAGTATTTCCTCCAAGTTGCCATAATGATTAACATTGGCACCCCAGAGAAACTCAAGTTGTACCATCATGAAAACAACGCAAAAAATCCAAAATATGTTTTCAGAAGCCACTGAGCATAACAGAGAAGCTGCAATTTCCTCCTGAGTCCTTTCTTTTTTTAGTGAGCCCTGAATTACCCGGGCCAAGAGCCAGGGGCTAAGCCACATACTGGCAAGAGGAACCAGAGAATGTTGAACACTGCATCTGCCATGAGGTTCAAGTTCTGCGGAATGAAGCCGTTGTTTCCTGCGTTACACCAATACTGAATGGCATTTTTATGTATGGCAGTGATTCATTCAACAACAGATTTTAAATCCGTTAAATCAGTGGTTCTCAAATGCGGCTCTCTCCCGGGGGACAGTGGGCAATGTCTGGGGACATTTTTAGTTGTCAGGACTGGAGGAAGAATGCTGCTGGCATCTGGCAAAGCCAGGGACGCAGCCCGTAGCAGAGCCCTTCCTAGGCAAAAAATTATCTGGCCCGAGTATCAATTCTGCCAAGGGCGACCACTAAAATATCAAAGTAATACACGTGCATTGTTTTAAAAAGTAAAACAACGAGGCGAGGCAAAAGGTGAGGCAAAAGACTCCTCCTTTTACTTACAAGCTTTTTATAACACCATCTATCCCCAATTCTACTTCACAAAGCCACCTTTTTTTTTTTTTTTTTAAAGATTTTTCTTATTTTCCAAGCAACCATTTTCAAATCTAGGAACTGTCTGTTTTACTGGCGGTGACCCCCAGTATGGCTTCCATGTTTCTGAAAAACCTCACGGTACGCCCTATCAGCTTTGGATATCACTTAGTTGATTTTCTCAAACCTAGGTGAGGATTTTGGTTTTTTAAGTTCCATCCTCAATCCTACGCTAACCTACCACATTTTCCCAACAGTATAACCGTCTCTGAGCAAATCTATACTTGACGGATATCATAACAATGGAGTGGACACTGGTGAGCAAGCAATACAGTACGATGAGGATTCCTTTCTTATGCGACCTTTTTGTGTTTCTTGGGTTACTAATTGCATCTGTTTTTATTTCCTTAATTTTCTTTTTTGTCTTTATATCCTTTGGTAATTCTTCCAGCAGTGTCCACAATCCTTTGCTTCAATTTTTCACATGATCAAAATTCTCAGATAATCTGTCAGCTCTATGGGTTTCCCCCTCGTTCACTCCTACATCTCCCAAATACACACACATCAGACCTTCTGAAATTTCTTGCCTCCGTTCCAGTCTGTAATTGACAGCATTAGGCCTGTTAAAGAGTTCGTGCCGCCTTGAAACCACAACATCTTGAGAACACATTTTCTTTGTTCCCAGGATCCCAAATCTCCCCCTTTCTTGGTTTACTCTCTCATTTCAGTGGGACACATTCCCTAGTAGATTTATGAGAACTGATATATAACAGCTAAATTTCACTGGTATCCTAAATACATACAAACATCTTTACTCTACTCTTAGCTCACAACTAGTAGAAGAAGGACTCTAAATTCCGAGGGAAAATTATTTGTACAGAATTCTATACTCAGTCTCTTTTCCAACTTCCAATGCTGCCATCACGAAATCTGGTATCATTCTGACTTCAGATTCTTTATATGACTTTTAAATCCAGGATACTGCTTAGATGCTGCCTTTATCTCTAATATTCGAAAATGACATGATGAGCTTTCACCTAATAATTTTCATGTGCTTTTTATCCCCTGTTCTAGTCACCTGGTATGAAATTCCTCTCTTCTTCAGACTTAAGATTTTTTTCCAGCGTCTCTTCCTCAGAATACCTATTAGGAAAAAAATCGGAGTAACCACCTCTCATCTATATACTAAAACTCTCCGCACTACGTCTTCACTGATCACTAAGGTACCCATTAGCTGCATGTGCTTACTAAGCCTTGAAATGTTTGGCTAGGGCAACTGAGGAACTGACTTTTATATTCTGTTTAATTTTAATTAATTTAAGTGTACACAGTCACGTGTGGCCAGTGGTTGCCGTATTAATGCAAATGTAAAGACTGTGACAAACGGGAAAAGAGCAAGAGCAAAGCAGAGGCAGTGCCTACTGCCCCGGTCTTATGACGATATTGAAGATGAGAAGGTGTTAAGATGTTCTGAGAAAAAATGTTCAGAAGAAGAAATGGAAAGGGATTTCCACATCCTCACCACTACTGTTTTCAGTATGAAGTTCTGGGACTTCACTCCTTACAGCTTCCTTCCTCCTAAGAACTTGAAGACCCTCTACTTCCGTACAGGCGGTTCTCTACGGGGCAGACACCACAGAGGCACACCAGGGCAGTCTCTGGGTCTCCATGCA